AAAAATATATATATATATATATATATATATACACACACACACACACACACACACACACAGTGTTGGCACAAGAGACTTTTGTTTTTTTAAGCATGGCTATCAATCAACCTTTATTTATACAGGTAAATCCCATATGATGAATTGTTATGAGCAGTCAGCATCTTACTTGCAGTAGAAAGAAGTCAAAGCCATTTCAAGTTTCCTTGCAGTTCAAGTAAACATAATTTTAGTTGGGGTTTTTTTCTACTTAAGAGTCTTTACACAAGTCAGCTGTTATTTTTCTCCCTCTACTAAACAACTACAATAAGTGCATGCACCATAGCTGCCATTTCAAACCCGAACCCGGAGCCCGGGCCGGGCCATAATAATGTGCTTAATGTGTGGGCCGGGCCAGTGTCGGGCTTTTGATTTCGTCAGCAGACGTGCACAGCTGACGATCCAATTATATGGCAACCTGTCTTCCATACAATCACCAGCTGCACACGGCCATTTGACCATGCGCTGTCCGGCCATGAAAGAGTTTAAAAAAAAGTTAATTTAAGCTTCAGATGGGACTATACTGCCAGGCAGCGACCCATCAAAGCCCAAAATGGACGTTCATTCAGCCGCTGTACTCATCGGACGCGCGGCCGATGACCCAAGCAGGTGAGATCCCAAAATATCCGACACGTCAGAGCAGGGTCCATGTTTGAATAATGCAGAATGCAGGCAGAAGCAGGGATTTAATGTGCTTTGATGGCCATGAAAGGACAAACACCCCTTTCGATCCGATCTTCTGAGCCCTTAACCGCGCGTCCACCGACCATTAATAAATATATAAACAATCAGGTCGGGTTCGAATATGATGGCTACAGTCTGGGGCCGGGTTGGGTCAGATTTTTGGGCCCGAATGCAACTCTAATGCACCATGCCTTGTCCCCGATCTGCTGAATCTGAGACATTGTCTTTTTTTTTTTTTTTTTGTAATTCTTCCTCCATGAAATCTGGTAGATGCAGATGTGCTCTAATCTTACCCAGAAAAAGTCCTAGTTTCGATAATCACTCCAGTTTACTGGTTGTAGATATTTTGGTTTAAACTGATGGAGTTTAGAGCAGGACACGCATAAAAAATGTAAACAGTCGTTTCATGCACAAGTGAGGGAGTGTTAGAAATAAAAGCTAACATGTTGTTCAGTTGAATTAATAGTATTTTAGTTCGAGTCGTTTTAAATGAGAGAAATTTGCTCTTGAATCAGTTCTGCTCGGAGTAGCAGTTGACAGTCCCATTTTCCAAATGAAGAGGAATGTTGTCTACTGCAGGTAAGATACTGATTGCTCATAACTTCACAAAACCCCCATAAATAAATAAATCACTTTAAGAAAGGCACTTGCACACCAATTTATGCGCTAACCTACTAAAAACTTAAGGCTTTTTGTGTTGAAATTCAAAAAATGTTTGGCAAATATGCTGACCGACTTTTTTCAAAAAGCCAACAGAGTTTATGTTTGTGAAAATCTGTCAACAGGAGTGTAACAAAATGATCAACAAGTGTAAACAAGAAACTTCAATGTTCTCATATTTAGTCAATTTTTTATGGAAATGTCAGTCATTCCAAAAACTCTTGTTCTCTTTTTTAAAAACCAAAAGTGTTTTTTTTTTTTGGTCTACATTTCAACTAAAACAAACCAGAGCCTGAAACCAGCTAAGACGGCTCCTCATCTAATATTACAAAGTCACGTTAGGATGTAA